ACAAGAGTAGGATACCATAGTGTGCAACGACTACTGCCCATACCGTGGAAATTCTGTCGCTGAATTCCCTGACGTTGTACAGAATTGGACGGTTTTCAAGAAAAACACACCTCTAATGTCATAGTAACTTTGCATCATTAACAATGTTGCTGCAAGATCATCCACAAAAGGGTGATGCACACAGTTCTCCCCAATTTGAGGTCCACCCACGTTATAAGGCCGGAAGTCGTTTATAACACTATTGTCCAAACTTGTAACTCTGACAAGAGCCAAAATGAGAAAAAAAGTAACAATGGCTGCAATCCAACTCGTTTTGGTTTGTAATCCAAGTGTTGCTTTCCGCATGATTTGTGAAGGTTCGGTGTGGGACTCGCCGACTCCCCTCAAGCAGAAATGAGCGGTTTGGGGACTAACATGGATTATGTCTGTGTTTACATACTGGGATCTTTGCCCACAAAGAAAGAACACATACGTTTAGTACTTACCTCTGATTATGTGTTCACTTTCATGATATTATTTTATCTAAAATAATGGCCTAATTCGTGCATGGATGTTTTTGTGTTCATATGAAAGCCACGCAAGTCTTTTGGACATGAGAGCTCAGGAGAATATATATGATTTTCTCCCAGAACCTAGCTAAGGTCTACTGTCACTGGCATGGCAGCTGGACTGAAATAGACTGACCTAAGACTGAAACAGAGCAACTACTGGAAGTATATCATTCACATGTTAATGCCCAATGGCTAACAGACTAACAGATATTCTAAATATGATTCAGCATTTTTGTCGCACTATTTATTTTATATCCGGTATTTTTATGACGGGCCAGTGGGTGGCTCCTCTAAAATCGGGAAATCGGAGTAGTTCCTTGTTGCACCGGTATTGGTCAACCAGATGACAGTGACAACACAGCCCTGCCTGTCCCCTTTCGACCCCGCTCGACCCCAGACGGCCAGTGCTTTAGAACCACCTTAGAGATGTTCTAAAAAGTGGTTCCATTGGGCCCTAAAAAGTCTGATGGACATCCTCGGGCCAAGGGAAGCTGTCTTAGTGTGGAGCGGGGCTAATTGAAAAACGTCTTGAATATATTCACCTGGCAGAGACACAAGGAGCTACTCGGCGATAGAATTAATCAACTCATTCCTACTAACTTCACAGAAGTAAACATGCAGTGGTCACTTTAATCAGTGAACATTTTTTGTGTGTCAAATTAAAATTTACATTTCATTTCTTCAGACAAGTGTCTTTTTCCAGTAAAGAGAAAATCTCTTTCTTGGCACGTCACACAGGGAAATAGTGACAGCTCTGATGAAGGCTGAAATGATAGCCAAAACTGTCAGGTAAGAGATTTTTTATCTTCACTGGAAAAACAATTTTCGGAAGAAAAGAAACTTAGGAACCTATTCTGACCACCCATTTTATCAATGGCTTAATTCATTTCCATTAAAAAACAACCGCGTTTTAAAGATTTTCTGCATTTTTACAACAGTGTAATCTGCACTCCCACTGTGTCCACTAAGTCTTTGCAGTGCATGTAAAATGTTATTTGCAATGGCATGCCTCTGTCCACTTTCAGAGAGTCAGACAGGTGCTCTCATTGTACATGAAAGCCTCTGGTGATGCATGTCAGTCTTGATCAACCGTGATGATGCCCCCAGGAAACCAAATAGCTTCCTTTCATTTGACATCGGAACTGTTTTGTGTTTCAGCACTTTTCTGATAGTTTTGGCAGCTGGAACAACCATTTGACACTTCAGCCGTGCATCTTTTATATCCCCCAAACATTTTAAACCCTCCTTTTTGGCTGTATTTTCAGTTTCATCTGGAGTAGAGTGAAAACTTTATGACGGTGTCCAAAGTGGAAATCATAAATACATTTCTTTGAGAAGAATGTCAAAATAAGATAATACAGTACTATCATGGTAACATTATAAGAATAAACCCAAAATGTTGAATCATTAAAATATATTACCCCTCATATTTTAACAACTCACATTTTTTTTCTTCTTAATACTCCTTTGTAAAGTGCGGTGAAGAGGCCTGACTTTCCTCTTGCGAGTCGAAACACATCACTATAAAAGGTCTTTAAATATATATAAAATTAACATTCCGTGTTTAGTCTCATCTTCCAACACATTAACAAAAGTGGCAGCCTCATCCTCAATGTTTGTAAGGTTGTGGGGCTCCTCAAATGTGTGACTCAACCCTCATTACTCAGCATGACAGCAGGGGCATTGGTTCAGGCTAAAATCATACATTTCAATCACATGTATAGTCCCTTAATTATTGATCTATTGCAAAACAACATCCAATCTATACACTTCAGAACATTAAGGGTGGCCGGCCTGAAGTTCAACGGGGCAGAAAAAGACCCATGCTGACGTCCGGCTGCTCATTTTGACGGCGCGTCAGGGTCGGCTCGCATGCTGCTAGGCCTCATCGGGGTGATGGCCGTCATCATTGTGGCGGGCCTGTCAGAACAAACTGGTGTGCTGGGGAAGAGATCCAGCTTTAGTGTCTGGATGGGGAGTATGTAACACATGCACCGCCCTTCCATGGAATATGTTCCTCAAAGTGGCAAGCTGGTGCCAAATTAATGACAAGAACAAGCGATGACATCATAGAAAAGCATGATTAGGCCCCACTTAAGACATGTGAGTAAGTCCATACATCATGCTGGTGGTGGTGGGGGGGACACGTTCATCACAGTCATAACTGACGCTTTGATATTACTGTTTATTTCCACCTTCATTTTAACATCGCACCAAAGTGATACGGCATAAATAAAGACTTGGCTCAAACATGACAGAGGGACTTTTATTTTTGATTTATTCCCATAGATTGACAGTCACAACGGAGGCTAATGTGTAATCATTAGCAAATGCTTTGCAAAATATATATGTATTGTAAACCGTGATGATTTACTTGCCACTCCCCCCCCCCACCCCACACTACCATTAGCGAGTGACTTAGAAAACAATAAATGCCACAATCGCTTTCACTTAATTAAGACAATAGATATCATACTGCAAGGTAAAATGTCACTCATAGCGCTGTCCCGTGCGCGCAGCAATTTACTGCTAAGTGTTATGAGAGAGGGTGACACAAATAATAGCTGTTAAGATGTCAGATAGTGGGAGCTGAGTCACATTAGTGAAATTAGCCAAGATACGCTATTATAAACAATGCCAGCCTCTCAACACATACATAGGTGCAAATAAACGCACAAGGGAGTAGATGCAGCGATAATATGAGACATTAGCAATATAGATTTATGCGGATGTAAAAAGCAGGCAACCATTAGTACAATTTAGTCTAATACAACGGCCTCGTGAAAAAAAATGGCCTCAGTGATTGAACATCCTCACATGCTAAAACAATATTGACATTGTCTTTATTCGATGTAATACACACTAAACAAAAAAAAAAGAGGGTTCTAACATATGTACTATGATAACCGTTGCATGAGTGACACCATGTTTCAACTTAAATGAAAACTGTTTTCAGAAAACATCATTTGTGACATTGTGTCAGCACTGTTCATTGCTTGGGCTGAAGGCTGATTCACAGTCAACACTGACATCTGGTGGTTACAGAATGGACACACAATCGCATCAATGCACACTGCATTACTGTATTGGCTAAAATCGAGATAGTAGGAAACTTCAGAGGCAGTAAAATTGTTTCACTTTACACAATGAAGTACTGAAGGAAATCCCAATTCAAATAGCCAGACAATGTCAGTGGGATAGCACAGGTTGCCCGTCAGTCATTTTCCCCTCCAATCCATCCATCCATCCATCCATTTTCTGATCCGCTTATCCGTTAGGAGGGTCGCGAGGTGTGCTGGAGCCTATTCCTACTGACTTCGGGCAGTAGGCGGGGAAGACTGGTTGCCAGCCAGTCGCAGGGCACACATCGACGAACAACCATCCGCGCTCACACTCACACCTTGGGACAATTTTGGAGTGCCCAATCAACCTTCCATGTATGCTTTTAGAATATGGGATGAAATTGTATTACCCGGAGAAAACACAGGCAGGCGCAGGGAGAACATGCAGCTCCGCACAGGAAGGCCGGGGCCTTGATTCTAAATCGTGCCGCTCTCCTCCAATCCAGCTTCAGCAAAATATTGGCCTCCAAGATTCTTCAACTGAGAGTCGCATCACATGCTAATTTTCAATAGTTTCTGTGACACTGCCTCAAACTTATATTACAGTGAATTATTTTGGAATGCCACTTTTGGCAATCTGTCCATTCATTCGTTCTGTCGTCATCACGATCATCATCATAATGAACATGCCAGAGTCAGTGTGTTTTTTTTCAACTTGACATGTCACTCTGTCAATTTACAAACACACAAAATGCAAATGTAAGAAGGAAAAAAAAATGCCCCGACTCTACCCTGGAGACCTCATAGCTGTCTTTAGCTTTGACTGACAAGGACTCTGAAACAGGTAGCGGTTGGGGGAGCAAAGCAGACGATGTCAACATGTCCTCTGCAATTCTGATGCGATGATTTATGACCGCTACTTCCATTCGTACTACTAGATATGCTTTTCTTTGGAAAGGTTACACCTGGTGCAACAGCACCCTTTGATGGGCTAATTTTTCTTCCTGTTTGCGTAATGGCCCGGGTGTGCGAATATTTTGACCAGATGTTTTAAATTATCAGCGGGGATATTTTGATCAGGCAAATGTCATTCTAATCTCGTCTTAATGTACAATGATGTATTCATATTATAATAAGTGAGAGATGGCTTTTGAATAATAATAATAATAATAATAATAATAATAATAATAATAATAATAAAGGCTCCAGCTCGCCTGTGACCCTTGTGAGGATAATCGGATTAGAAAATGGATGGATGGATGAATGATAACAATAATATTAATATTAAAATAATAACGCCTCTCAATCCTTACAACACTGTTGGCTTGTGCAGTACTGACCGTAACTGTAATCAAAAATCACAGTTACAAAAAAAATACTACTTGGAACCAGTAAAACAACTGAGCAATAATTTATTATTTACAACAGTACATGGATGAAGTCAGGTTACATTAAAAAATATATCAGTTCTGGGGCAAATACTCTCTAAGGCGTTTGGCAAGACCTGTAAAGGCTTTAGTGATATGGAAATGTAAGCAAATAAACACTTGGAGAGTTAAAGTTAGCATGCTTGATAACACAGACAAGATGGTATCTGCTTGTTTGTTATCATGAAAAAGTTCTGTTCACAAATGTCCGATGCAAAAGTGCTCAGTGAAACCAGCGGTAGAATATGAATAAAGCATCATAACTAGAGATACACATTCAACACACCCTCAAAAATGCCCGATTGGAATATTTGGACCAACTGTCAAAGGAATGCGGAGAGCAGCTTTCACTTAACATCGCACACATTCATTTCATATAGAAAACACGTTCAAGCATGATGTGATGAATAAATACATGATGTGCACTACAGATGATCCAGCAATGCACAGTTTTGGATTTCTTGAGCTCAAAGTGAGAAGCTGACCACTGTGATCTGCTTAGCAGTTGTTTGTGTTCGTCCGCCATAACTTGCCGTCGCCATGCTCGTGTTTCTTGGGCTGCGTGTCCAAGTTGGGGCTCATACCCCTGAGTGCTGCAGAGGGCGTCCTTGAAATCCCGTTCACAGTCAGCAGTCCGCCTTCGATGGGGCAGATGTAGTCTGCGGATTCGTCAGGTTTCCTCTTCCGAAGGTGACTAAACTGCGTGAAGCCTAGTTTCTTGGGCTGTAACACACACACACACACACACACACATACATGAACCAAACACATTTCAGATTGATTTCATCAGTGTACAGTATATGTACGGCATTCTTTGGATTCTCTGTGTTACAAATGAGTATTACAGTCACATTGTAAAGACACAAATCTGAAGAAATAATTGTGAAATAAGAAATAGAACGTGGTAACATGAGATCCCCATCATTTAGGAACATTTGGAACATTTTGACGATGTAAATATGTTTTTCTTTTTTCCTTTGACCCTTTGTCGAGTAGATTACCTTCACTTTAGATGTGGTTGTGAGGGGCACATGGCCTGTAGCATTGCCGTACTCTCTCTTCTCCTGCGTGGCCTGAGTCCCCACCAGGGCAGAGAAGGCTGTGGCCAAATGACGACGGAGCAACGTTTTCTGCGGTGGGATATTAAGGAGCAGGGCCAAAGTCTCTGCACTGAAACGAGGCTCCAGGATCTACAGAAATGCATATTGACCCTTTGTGGTTACGACACTACATGACATTAAGTTGCCTGTGTCGTAAGCATTAGCGAAAATGGGAATGACTCACAATTAGTCCACCGTGGACACCGCTGCCGCGTAGATTAGGTGCGTACTCTGCAAGATCAACTGCTCGAAGCCACTCCATCACACGGTGGTTTGACCACTGCACGACCTCAGAGGGCGAAGGCTGTTTCTGAAGTCCAAAAAAAAAAACCCAGATAGGCCCACTCGAGGTTTTATACAATACATTTATTTATCATCATATGCTGTGAAGGCAAAATGAAAGGGCACCTGGCGATTATAGCTCAAGGAAGTAAAAATTAAGACAACCCCACCCCTTTATAACAGCTGCCACTCTTTCTAAAAGATTTTCAAGTTGTTGGAACATGTTTGTGTGTTTTCATCCTTTGCGTGGTCAAAGGTTACAGATCCTAGCTCATTATTTCTGTTGTATTTCATCCCAAAAGCATTTGACGGATTGAGGTCAGGGCTAGCTTTCTGGGTCTTCCGCACAAAAGTCATCACCAGCAATCCGTTTATGGACTTTTTTTTGTACACTGGAAATGGACGACAACTTCTCCCAAAAGCTCCCACTGAGATGGAGGCATCGAATTGTCCTTGTAAAATAATGAATTCAAATTAATTTGTGACTAAAGGCAACTCATGATTGCTTCACTGAATAAGCACAATGGAGCTCTTTTACTGATCCAAATGTTCTGCATGACTGCAGTCGAAAGTAGCAGTAATTGAAATGTATTTGTCTCCATCTTGTGGACTCGTACTGTAATGTCCACTATGAAAGATAGAAAAGATGATACATGTGGAGACTTCAGTCAATATGTTGAGATGTACGGACATAAATGCGACGAAACGATCCACAGTATAAACATGTTTGTTTACCTCTTCTCCAGGCCTGCGTCTGAGGCAGTGGGGGTTGAACTTGTTGGCATGAAGGACGTGGATGGCACATTTAATGCTGAGATGATGAAGTTGACTGGTCACTTTTAGGCTCAAGAGGTCATTCTAGGAAATTTGAAGAAAAAAAAAAACGTCGTGAGCTTCATGTAAATGTGTAAATGTGGATGAACACATTCACCTCGACTTACTACGGTGAGGTATTGTATCATGCGGCCGTCCACACGGGCTTCGTGGAACTGGTCTTTATACTGAGGCAAGCCAATATCATCCAGCCATCCTAGAGAGTCAGGTGTTTATAATATAGGGAACATACAGTACATGTCACTTGTTGGGTTTGAGCTGATTCAAATAAGAGCAAGACTCTTACGGGTGACCCAGATGTGGTCCAGCTCCGCTGACTTCTCTGTCATTTTATTGGTGAATGCCTTCAGTGCCAACTGTAGCTTCTTCCGGTGCAGAGGGTGCTTTATACCCATCTCCTGTGGTTGCAAAGCACACTTGCTCTCAATATTTCTACATGTTTGTTAATAATAGATCATCTTTAGCAACCAATGGCATCAATAATCGCAGTCCCCACAAGGTAAAGTCAGACACATCCGTGTGTTTGTTGCCACAGGTTTTCGTTGCCAAATTTTCCAAACTTAATGAAATTATTTATTCTCTGACCCAGCAAGAATCCAATTATTTTCAGGTTGATGTAAACTACCAATATAGATGTGATAAAAGGTAAAACCAACTATTCTTGGTTGGACTGGTTGATTTGGGTGAAACTACCTCAAGATGATTCTGGTAGCTGGTGTCTGTTTTGACTTTCAGCTTTTTACCATTGATACCGATGTAGTTATTTCAGTCATCGAAAGTTATTCTATTCTCCAACCTTTTCAAGATCCTGAGGCGTGGCAGAAAGTAGTGTCTGGCCACATTCAACCCACTGCCTAGTGAGGTTGACATAGTGCCCCAGACCATAGTCCTCCAACCAGCCACACACCTGCTCCTTGGTCCACTGGCTGAACGGGAGATTCATGTCACTGGCAGAAAAAAAAATGAGAAAATGGGCATATCAGTTTAAATAACATGTAATTCAAAGGGCTTCATTTAAAAAATATATAACACAATGTTTAAGTTAATATTTTATGTGTTGTAGTGTTTTTTAATGTTTGTAATTAATGTTTTATATTATGTGTTTGGTAAAGCGTTTTGTTACAGCTGCAGCTGTTGTGAAAGTGCTACATATATAAAGAGTGTAGCACATCCACTATGTTATGGACTCTTACCGTACAGAATCAGGAGATTCCGGGTTACGGGTCAGTCGGGGTCCTGCTGTTGCACGGAAACCCCCTCTTCGAAAAGGACCGGTGTCTGGATCACCTGCATTGACTCCTCCAGAATTTGTCCTTCGAAGTCTGGGTTGAGGAGAGTGATAAAGAGTTAGGTTAGAGTGATATGAGCTTCTTCTTCATCTCAAAGTTGGATGATTCAATAAATACATGAAATTACGATGCAAAAGGGACTTGCGACGTTGTGAAAAATAAAATCTCATTGCTACAAATTGAAAAGAATATTTCGTAGTACCCCTCTCAGTCTTGGGGCCCCCCCTTGTATCATTATCACATGATGAATCATTATTTCCTTAATGTTTAATTTTCATTTTGCAATCATTGCCTTATTACCGATTGAGTTAAAACAGTTACTGAAGAAAATTGTTTCTAGGCAGGGCAAGGTTAAAGTATCTTCTTCACTGGTCACATTATATCAACCTGATGCATCGTTCATTCACATATGCAAGGCATTTCTCACACCCACTTTCCCCAAAGTCTCTTAAGGCTCCGGTTTGTCTTCATGTATTCTGGCGAGCCCACATTTCTCTGGCCTGGTGGGCTGGTTTTCCCAGTGCAGGTGTTCACTTTGTCCAACTTCGCTAAGAAAGGGAAATAAAAACAAAACATACGCACAAATAATGATGAATGCACTGAAGAACCACTGTTGTAATACAGTACAGCATTTCCACTTGAGTGCTAATAATGGCTACGGTTTCATACTACAGCACATCCATATGCTGTACTATGTCTAAAAAGCAAATATCTTCAACTTGAAAAGCTATTAGCTGTGGTCATGTGATGGCTGTGATCATGACACATCATTTCTTTACCTCAAACTGTGTATGTGTGCGCATCTGCATGTGTCGGGCTAAAGTCTGTGTTTTATTTCTGTAGGCAGCAATATTAATCGGGGTGAGTTATAATGGTCAGTGGTGTGTGGCGCTGGGCTGTGTGCGGTCATCAAAGAGGAGGAAAGGGTGTGTTTGCTTTGCAGGAAAAAAAAACAAAAAACTTCCATCCCTTGATCCTTCCCAGTCTGAAGCCCCTGCAATTACTCGTGATCAAAAGTAAAGTAGTCCCTCTGGTTAGAGGGAAGCGGCTTTCACCGAATATAAGTTGTCTGGAAATATAATATTGTTATTATCTGTGTGTTTACTTTGGCTGCAGTCTCCATCTTCACTGTCATCTGGAGATCGCTCATTTTGGAGCTCGGTGCTGCTCTCCGTGGGGGATAAACGAACAGGCAGCGTCGGACTCCTTGTATCTCTCTGTTTGAAGACCCCACAGACACAAACAGATGGTTAACTGACCTATCATCTCCATTAGAAGCAATTTGGAAATCATCAGGAATGAAAATGATTGTTTCTCTGTAGAACCTGTCATATGACTACAAAGCCTGTCGTATGACTAAATGGGAAACTAGTAATTGGTGTCAAGGAAATCGGGTGACGTACATCTCGACTGGAGGGCAAGCTTCGTGTGTCAGGGAGGAGCTAAGTTTAGCCTAGGTTGGTCGTAGAAGATTAAGAAAGTCTTCACTGCACAGGCACACATTGGTGCACGTTTCTAAAAAAAAATGTAATCATCTGTAAGTCATTTCTTTTCGAGGATAGTGGTGTACGATGAGTTTGAAATTAAACTGATATGGGATCACACTGTGGTATGCTTACAGTTTAAGATAAAAAAAAAAAACTGGAGGACCATCAATGATGTTTTTTTTCTCTATCCTCAGCAGGGCTAGATCCCTATCTTCTGCAAATACCAGGGGTTTACTGGATATGGTTCTATGAAAGTCTGTCCACTATTGCTACAGGAAGTGAAAATCCCCCCCAAAATAAGAAGAAAAATCAAGAGCACCTAACCACTAGCACAGCCTCCACTCTTCTCAGAAGACTTTCAACAAGATGCTGAAATGCGTCTGTTGAAATATTCGTCCAGCCAAAACATAAATTTATGAGGTTAAAGTCACAAAGGGTCTTGCTCGCAGTGCTGAATATGTGTAATGATGTCAGAGTCTTACACTAGATCGGAATAGCAGATTCTTTAGGTGTGTATCAGTCTGGCACTTAGCCATGGAAATGGTACAAACCATCTCCGTGGAGTCTAATGCTAATCATCTCAGTTGGCTACATCTGTGTATTCAGTCATGTAAATTTAGCAGCAGAAATGGACTCATGCTGGAACAGAAAAGTGCATCTATTAGACTGTTCCCGAATGGCCAATCTGCCTTGGCAATATGAAGGATTTAGGAAACCAAAGGGGTGGAGTCATTGCTGGTGTCGCATTTCACCTAGCTGACTGTTGTCTAATTCATTCAGTGGATCTTACAATTAGCCTGTCGTCGCAGTCAGTCCAAAGTGTACAACTTGAAACGCAACTGATTGACCAGGCTTTTGAGTGATTGTGTCCCAAGCTTGTGTATGAGTATGAGAAGTCAAAAACCCAATACCTTTTGTGTCTGGCCAGGTGTTAAGTCAGTCATGCTACTGGATGATGTCTGTGTCTCTGTCCTGAAAGGACATGAGCATCATTACTGGTAGAAAATGAATCATGCCACAGTTTTACTATCATTGGGTTGATACGGCTTGAAATACCTGCAATCACTGTCCTTCTGAGACAAAATTGATGTTTGATGAGAGGAGGCACTGTTTGTGGAAACCTGAATCATGAAAAAAATAACAGGTATTAGCATTCCAAATAGTTTGCTGTCTTACAAGAGAAAAAATAAACAAGACAGTTTCGTTTTCAACGCACATCAGACTTGAGATCCTCAGACTTGGCACTGGCAGAATCGGCATTCTTCCTCAGACCGTGCTCCTCTTCCTCACTGCTACTGGAATTTGTCCTACCATTGGACAGTGAAGGACCAGCAGGTGGAGCTGCAGTCACAAAGGGACACAGGGAACTATTTGGTTGGTGTTGACGTTTCCTTTTCGCCAATGGTTGCCTTTGATTAGAAAAGTGATAGATGGTGAAGAGGAGGCCATGCAAGAGAGAAAAGCTTGATTACCTTGCCTGGCGTTGTGTGTCAGATCTCGGAATTGCTTGCATTGGTTTAAGAGCAGAGTGAGCTCTTCAATGCGTCGGTCCTCCAGAAATAGGAATGAGAGGGTGTTTCAAGGTCAACAAAACCCATTAAGATTTTTATCAAAGCTTAAGTAACGCACAGAGGGCCGCTTCCTGACGCTCCTGACCACTAGGCCACACCAACGTCGTTTTCACCATATGGGCGACATGAAAAGAGCATCTGGGGAGGGGATTGAAATCCGCTCGACTTGAATACTCAGTCGCGGTGACCAGCTGCAACAAATGTGTCTTTTTTTTTGAAGTGGTGCCCAAGCTTGCTTCATCGTGGCTCTCTTACTGCAGCTCTCTCCCAAATTAGGCTTGGCAGATCGAGGCCTACTTAAGTGTGGCTTTGCCTGAAATGGTTGGCCTTGGGGCGTGTACGTGTGTGTTCACCAGCCCCGCCACATGTAGACCCACGCCTGCAAGCCTTTAAGGTCCAATATTCCCCATGAGGGAGAATACAAAAGCCGTGCTGTACTATAATCGGATGGAGGGCGGTGCATGCGAGCAATGACAATATTTAGAAAGTGCAAGTCTGCATGTTTCCCGGTGGTGCCTCATCAATTGGGAAACTTAACGCATTCTCTTTATTTTCATGAAAAATAGATGGATAAAGGAGAGAGACTTACTTTTTCATCATTGGCAACTTCCAAGGTTTTAATGTCACTTCTAAGTCTTTGCAACTCCTGGTCTATGGTGAAGAGAAAAACGTTTGACATCAAACATAAAACATTGCTTTGTCATCTTTAAATTAAGATCGTTAAAGGTGATGGTTCAACTACCAAGATTTTATTTGATTCTTCAGGCATAGCTTCCGCAAATATTTTGGTGAGATTCCAAAATGTTTGATCATTGGGCATTTGGACACACTGATTGAACTCCACATTTCATTGTAAACATGCACTCTTTCAAGTCACCTGAGCCATTTTTCACTTAATAATAATAATAATAATACATTTTATTTAAAAGCACCTTTCATGCCACCCAAGGACACAATACAGAAGATACAATGTAAAAATAAATAAGAGAAATATTGTATAAAAACAGGACATATTGCTCAAATAAGACTTGTCGGTGAGCAGCGAACACTGGCTTGTGTATGAAACATTCCAGACATGAATGACCGATTAAATTAAAATGAAATAAAAAGCAGATTGTGATTTTAGGTGTCAGAAAGACATCGATGACGAGTGAGAGTATACATTCTTGGATGCCATCTTGTCTTGATGTTACCAGAGTGAATTTTACTTAATACTATACTGTACTGAAAAGCAGTGCTAATATCTTCATAAATATATTGTGTCACTTTTCAGAAATTTAGAGTGTCTTCAAAACTGTCGAAAGAAATTGAATGCATATAGCTCTTATTTACTCAAGCCATCGGTTGATTAGTTGTTGGTTAGGCTGGATGATCTGCTTACCTCTCTCAGAGCTCTCAGTGGCTAGTGAAGGTCTGGCCAGAAGCTGAGTGTGCAAGCTCTCAATCTCAACATTCTTACTCAGTAGAAGCTCCTGAAGGCTGCTGATCTCCACCTGTCAGTACAGACCCACAATTGAGATATTTAAGATGACCAGAAGAGTCGAATTTCTGCAGTGCAGTATGTGCCTATACTGATGTATGCTTCACACACATGTATTCAATATAGTCCATATTTATCCATATCAAAACAATAATCGATAATCGCTGATTCAGCCCGCTGAGAATAGGCTTTCTTGTGTTTTAGGCTATGAAATGCATACGGTATGAATAGAAAATACGGCATTACTGAGGAAACGATAATACTTTGAGGGGGAAAAAAAAATATGAAACTGGACTAAGAGTGAGAGAGAAAAAATGCAGCAGTAAAGTAGAATGTAGCTGTTACACGTTACGGAAAGTCATAAAATCTTGTTCCCCCTCCTGCCCTCCCACTTTTTACATTATATTTAGTTCTTTAGAAAACATAATTAACTGTGTGCACATAAAATGAGAGTGACTCACTGAACTGCCTGGCCAATCTGATTGGTTGGATAGCTTTGAGGAAAGTTTATGTAGACAGCAGTGGAATTTGGACACTGATACTGTATATGCTAGACCAATGGTTTTCAAATGTTGTCACCCTGGGACTCCCATTTTCTTCTCGGAAAAAGGGATGCTCATAACTCGAGCTGCCACTCTACATGAATATAAAACTTCATCACATATTAATCAAATGAAAAACAGTAAGTCGTAGCCTATACAGTATTGGTACGATATAAACCAAGTACCACCCATATTTGTTTTTTCTGCAACCCATCCATGATGAATGTGCCTGGGTCCCGACAAACCAGTTGACAATCACTGGTGTAGACTCTACCTTAATGCAAGTTTTACCTTGCTTGCTTTGAGTCTTTCCTCATACTCCATCTTCTCATCCTCCAGGTGTTGCATTTTGTCTTTGAGAGTCTTGAGCTCCCGCACCAAACCCTGCAACATATTGTAAATGCATTCATTCAAGAGCTGCTATCAGCCGCAGCTCGAACCAAGCCACTGCACACGCCTGTCTGCCTCCCTATTCAAGTTCATATGTTCCTTCTGCCCTATCATCTAAAATATTCTTTTGTTCCATTGGTCCCATGTAAGGAAAACAAACGAAAGAACTAAAAAAAAAGAAAAAAAGGATACAATTGAAAATGCTTTAAAAAAAAAACTGAAACAATCTTACGTTTAAAAAACTAACTGGAATTATTGTGAGAGTGTCCTTGGTTTTCCTTTTTTTGTTTCAATTAATATCAAAATAAACTTTGGGTTGTTTTTTTTAAACAGATTTTTTTTTCATTATTGTTGTACATCCGTCAAAGGGTCAAACAGTCATTGGTGAATTGTAGATTCCTTTATTACACAATATTTTGTAACCTTTAACTTTTTTCAAATCAAAATTCTAAAACTACTATAGCTAGTCAAAACAAAACTAAAAAAAGCATTCTCGAAAAAAAAAACCCTAATAAAAAAACTAACAAACCTGCTCTAAAAACTAAATAAGACTAACTGAATAAAAAGAAAAAAGTCAAAACGAAATAAAAACTAACATTGACGTAACGAGGAATCCAAAATTATCATAACCCTGGTCCTCCTCAAAAATGTCAACGCTACACTCATTTCAAAGCAAATAAAGAACAATATTTAGCCTTGTCTACCACAACCGTTTACAAAGAGTGCTGCAAAGCATGTTGGGAAGTGCGCGGCCTCAGTATTGCCTCTGCAGATTAGTGAATAAAGTCCCCAAAGTCCCTGTTTGGTGTGTGTATGCTTCATTCAGCCTGATCGCACGGATAGTAAACACACTCCAAAGTAAGACAAAGCATGCCGTGCACAATGTCACAAGTCATGCATAAGCCTGTGCGTACGCTCTCTCCTCCGTGTGGCAGCTGCTCCGCGTCAGAGCTACTCTCGTCAACCCCGTCTGTAGCCTCCTCCTCTAGTTTGGGCTTCACCTCTGCGGCCGTGTAACATGAGGGGTTAGCATCTTCGGGGGACGTGGAGGGGGCGGAGCATGGCGCTGGTGAACGGCTGTCAGCTGGGTTCTCAGAGGCTTTTTTCTCCTGGATCTTGCTATTGATCTCCTTCTGAAACCTACACATCTGCTCCTGCAGCTCACTAATGAAATTCACAACGCTCTGCCGGATGCAGTGTGGGAAAGAGAAACATTGAAAGAACGTTTTAGAGGGAATGGAAGGGATGCATTTATCTGTATTTATTTTCATCTTTCTCTGAATGATGCATTGTTTCAAGGGAAGACATGTTCAGACGTGGGAAAAAACATCTCTCTGCTCCAGATAACAACAAACACAATGTTGCATTTTGCCTTTAAACCACTTCTTTCTACCATCATGCTTTGTCATTTAGTTCAATCCACGCGCACTATGGCTTTAACCCATTTGCCGATGTACAACGTTGTTCATATTTAGCATATGTTACGATCTAAGTGTTAAAAAAGAAGTTCCTCGTCAAATCTTAAAACAAATGAAACATCAGCTCTACCTTAATTTGAAAGATCCGTCACATAAAAGTTGCTTTTTGGGAGGTGAGTCGCTTCACATAAACACACCTCACTTTTAGAATTTTGTGCTGAGCAGCTTTGACTGTCACACATCTACATACCTGTCAACTTGTACTTTTTCCCCGTATTTTATACGTTTTTTTTATCATTTCAAATCATGTACAGCGTTTTACAACTTTTATACGGGAAAAAAAACAAACAAAAAACAATTGTGAACTGATCTCACGAAGACCATTTTGGCTCAAATGCAGATCGTCTCACCTGCTGGTAGCCAACGACAATGCCGTCGTCAATCGCTACTATCGTCACGGCAAACCAGAAAAAGTAATCCTCAATCGTATATTTTTTTCATCGCTACGTACGGTCGGATTGATAAAGCATGATGTGCGCATGCACGGTAAGCCGTTGTACGGGTTTTTGTTGCTTTGTCAGGGGAATCGTAATCATTTATAAGGGCAGCTATTAGCCGAAGTTGACAGGTATGCATCTATGGCACAAAACGTTCCATTCTGGCGTCAACACGTTTCCACATTGACAACAACTTTCTCTGGTGGCATCACAACAATAGCCCACAAAGCTAATGAACAACCAAAACATGCTTGTGCCTCCTTCAGTTGCTCGCTAAGTCTCCGAGATGGAGAATTATTGCATAATGAGACACATCACAGTAATTTGGCTCTGCGTTTTGACTTAAACATCAAACTGTGTTTTGTCCAAAACGTTGACCAAATCAATTAATCGACCAGTGAACCAGCTCAAGAAGTTCCGTTTCAACAGGAGCGACTCGTTTCTACATGTTGTCAAAGAAATTGGTGCCGGTGTTTCGGTTGTAAACAGCACCCAAGTTATGCCGGGACTGTTGACAGAGGAAGTCTCACATGGGGTCCAGTGTAGAGGATTTGACAGATGATATGACGCCGTTCCGTGGCTAAATTTAACTCTGAGCTTACTGGTTCAAAAGTGGGGTGGGGGCCGCTTCAACATTTTGTGTGTGTTTGTGTAGTAAAAAGCGCATGGGAGGTCTTCTAAGTGTTCAAAGAAAGTTTTTTTTCCCTCCCCCTCACTGTTCTTGATTCCAAACATATGTTGCAAGGAAACATGCAGACGATGAAAGTGCATCGACAAGAAGTGCGTCCCTCTGCTATTTTATCAACTATGCACTTTTTTTTCTGCTTCAATGTCAAACACACTTTTGTTCACGTGCATTTGAACAAATTGGGCTCCCCGTTCACTCCCCCAAGCGCTTGCTCTCTTCAGAATAAATCTTTGCCAACCTCCAAGAACAAAATCTTCTGGGCTGTGAAGCCTCACGTGTTCCTCCATCCACCGTGCCAGCTCTACTATGCCTGAACTCTTTTCACCTGAGGACACAAAGGCTCTTTGACTGGCTATATTTTGACAGTAACGTTACAGCATTCTGTCTGGTTCTAATTGTACTTCTTCTCAGTTTCACGGCAGAGACCAAATGTGCAATTCATCCACTGGTAATCTGACACAATTTAGTCTGAAGCGCAATTAGGTGAGAAATAAGAACAAAAATTAAACCTCTCGGATACTTGCATTCCCTCTACTAAGCATCAACCCGTGCCAGGGTTTTTGTCAATGTTCCCTCCCATGTGTGCGGAGCGTGTTTATGGACTTCCATAAAATCAGCAGCTGACTTCAAATCCACAATATGGTACAGGTTTCCGTATGTTGCTTTGTCATTCTTGGCAGACTTGTATTAAATTTCCAAAGGTTCTCCAAACAGAAGTGTCCCAGGAGATTGAAGCGAAACTCAGTCTTCCTTGAAAATACGTCTCAGTGGAAATAAGGTACAAAGTTCTTTGTCCGTGAGGCTCACTCTCACTTTCACTTGCAAAAAAAGTCTCCAGTTCAGAAATTCCCCAAATCCAATGACCTCTTTAAGACTGGAAAAACCGAAATCGCTCTCATCCACGTTAACTTTGATTTTTAGTGGGTATTTTATTGTCTTTCTTACCTCTGCTTTGTGCTGCCTCTCTCCTCCATGGCCCGGTTTCTCCTCCATGTCTGTCAGCTTCAGCTTCAGGTAGGACACCTCCCCCTTGAGACTCAGCTTCTGCTTCTCCAATGTCGTCCTATGCAGGAGCTCCTGTCATATAGCAAAAGACGCACGCTTGCTCATGCGAGCGCAGAATGCACACAGTGCTCTGCGACACTTAACAAAGGCGACATTAGGTACCAGGCACAGTCAGCTACAAGGTCTGTAATAACAGTCTCCTTGGACAAACCCACTGCTTTCAGCGGGGCTAAATATACACATAACGCATGACCACTATTTATAATGCCTATTTCACAGCTCACTCTAAGTACACATCAGGACTAGTGGGGACAAAACGGGGAAGAGGGGCGGGCGTTAACATGCAAAACAGTTTGGAAATAAAAACAACAGTCAAATAACTTTGACGGGTAATTAACCTGTCAGTTTAAACTGCTGCCAATCAAAGCCAACTCTGGGTGATTCTCAACCCTGAGGGATCCGCAAGACCATGTGGGCAGATGTGGTGCTAATTTGGTTCTTTCCAAGCAGGTGCTAAATCATTCAAAGACCAGAAATGAGCATCTGAAGCAGGCCCACGTGGACAAGAGTATTTGAAACACTGACTTTGGAAAATATCCGCCCTTTCTTTTTCAAGGCCATATGGAAAATATTAGAGCTTTGTCACCAGGAAGAGATTCACGGCTCACGTCCAAAGCCTCATAATGACCACTTCCCAAGAAAACCGGTCTTGGCTGCCCTTTCGTACACTGTACCCGTACAGCTTTGCACAGTGCATTTAACCACTAACAATGAGACTCATCTTAGGAAATTGTATTATTAGGTATGATCATAGGTTTATGCAACGCGTTACCTTGCCGTCTGCTTGCGGCAGAGCAAAGCGTGCTTCCCACATCGTAGAGAATCCTTCCCAGGCTCATGACGCTTTCGATGTCATATATCCTTTTGCACGGCATAATAAATGGAGTTTCGCAAGTTGCAGAGTTCAAGTCAAGAGCAAATAACTGCAAGTGGAAGATTCTTTCGCTTCAGGAAGCACGAGCCCTACCCGGTCTCCCACCCATCTCGCCACCTTTTTTCAGCTTTTCCTCCCTTCTTAAGCCATGAGTCAGTCTTGCCTTTCCTTTCTCTTTTCCCTCTTCTCTCTATCACAGTGAGAAAGCAGGCACAGACTATGCTGTGGGGAAAGGTTGGGGGTGTGGCTGTTCCAAGTCTAATCACCTGTCCAGACAGACCAGTCGAGCCCAGCATAAACCAGGCAAAGTCTCTGCGACATCGTACCGGAATGAGTCTGGGCATCCTAAATATTTTTGGGTCTCCAAGGTAATCTGAGGCTCCCTAGAGTGGAATTTCAAACAGGAATTTCTTCCCAGGGAGCAAAATATATTAGCCGAGACTGAATCTGCAGGAGGGATCTGTTGTGAATGACTGATCGGGGTTATCTTGAAGCTCACTTGTTAGGGGGAGAATGTTGATTTAAAAGCTTCCCCTCGGTTAAAAGTTTCCAGTAAGTCCAAACGAGTGGATGGCGATATCAGTCGTACCTGCTGAAGCATCTCTTCGGTGGCGTTGAGTTTGAGACGATGCTCCACCACCGAACTCTGCAGGTCACTGATTTTGACCTCCTGAGCTTCCACCTGGTCCGTCAGCACACCCACCTGTGTGTGTGTACGTGCGGATATGAGAAAACACAGCAAGTTGTGAACACCGCAACAGGACAACGCAGTGGAACATCTTCAGTGCAATGACCGAGAAGTTGTTTGATTTACAATTGAACAAGTTTTCTGAAGAAATTTTTTATTTTACCCGGTGAGGGACATCAGACCTCACCCGACTTTCATTTAGTGAAAATTAACTCTGGAGAAGAGTGTTTCGTTTGCTTTTTTTTTTGTTTTTTTTCCTGGCGATTTGCTGTATTACAAAATGAGGAACACGCAACAAAGCAAAAATGGTTGAAGACTACACCAGTCATCACTTGTTCTAATTGTTTTCTCAACTCTTATTTTGAATTGTACTTTGAACAAGGGTAAACTTCTTTTGAACGACAAATCATAAAATGCTTCAGATACATCTACAACAGACTGAGAATTTTATTTCCTTTACAAGTGAATCTATTTTTACACTTATATGACACGAAAGATCGCTTGGATTTGAACTAGATGGGAATTTAAGAACCACTTTTTCTCCATTAAATCCTGTTTAAAAATCCAAATGAATATCCCTGGAACAAATACCTCAGCCGAAGAGTTTCCACTTTACGATGCATTTTCGTCCTTGTAATTCTTTTTTTAATGCAAATATTCATAACTTAAACTCATAAGCTTTCAGATGATTGCCACTCATATTTTCACATGACATGCTCGTCACCTACTAGGTATACTCAATGTTCATTTGAGCTGGAACGTCAACCTCTATACTTAATTTAATGACACACAGTGTGTCGGTGCAAACTTGCAAGAGTTCAGTGACCTGAACATTGTTGAAATTGTTTATCCAAGTTGAGTGTAAAACATTGACCTTGAGTCTACAAAGGTGCAATTTTGTTGTATTGAATCATGCAAGCTCGAACACAGGCTGCAATGTTCTACTGATTTCCCAGAGAATGGTTGTACATGAGATCTAAATAAACAAATGGGCCAACTGTTCCAATAGTACATATACATCCACAGTACAGAGGTTGCATACTAGCCTTTACCTGTTTGAGGTATGCACTTTTTCAGCGGTTCCCGAAACTCCATCTTACTATCTTTGCACAACACTCGAGTGCTGTAACAGCACGAACCCTAGACTATAGAGCTTTGTTCCTGCTGCTGGAAGGGAAACGCAGCAGTTACGCAACATTTATAGCCTAACACTGAAACCTGCCTCTCCCCTTTGACCTGCTTTGACTCAACTATTTGTCAAAAGTGGTTTCAGTCTTACTATGCGGGGGCAGGAAGCATGGTCATTCTTAAATAAGATGCTATCTAAAATGGAAACTAGAAATAATCATGAGCACAGTTGTAGTAATCTCACCTGCAATATGAGAGATTCTTTGTCCCCTTCCAGACGTGATAAACGCTCCTGGTAGGACTCACTGTTGTCTGATGACTGGTGGTTTACCTTCGGCATAAAAAGGTTAACCTTAGTTACTGTATTGCTGAAACACAACTGTTCCCCAGTAGGTCAGATCCGGGTTTCTTCACATGAGGCTGCAGCAACGTGCGGTAAAATATACTTGAAAGGCTTCTCACTGCCTCTGCCTGTAAGAGGTTTACTACTCCTAATCCTCTATTCAGATTCCCCAAAATATTTGATACCATCTGATTCGCGAGGATGACGCTGCGGGGCTTGCTGTGTATTGAGGGAAGTTTTAGTGGGATCAATGGTAAGGGATGTGTGATTGCAGCCTAACGAGCTACATTTACTCAGAAATCCTCACAAAACCACACTGGTGGAAACATGATGTAGTTCAGCGAGGAGCCGGCGCCAAGAATCCCAAGTGTTTTGCAATAGTTTTGTTTCAATCCAAAAAAAGGTCCTCAACAGATTCCTTTCCAAGAGGCATTACAACAAAATTCATGTTTTTTTTTACATACCTGTACATCAGTTTAGTTGATACTCTTTGCAAAGTGTTTTGTAGTCTTTGTAAGCACCAAATGCAAACATGTTTGTATTATAGTTGCTAGTTGTATTATATGCTTCCATACTTTGAAGTCTGCTGCACTCCATATCACCTTGTGTAGTAATTCAATTCAGAATGCTGTTCAGCCGGAAAAATAAAGAACCACCTTATATAGTACAGTTAATCCAATACTGCCCAATACAGCACGCTAAAATCTCCAAACTTGAATGCCCCTTAAGATGTGCAATTATGACACATTTTCAAAAAAAAAAAAAAAAAAAGTCAAAGTGATGCCTAAAAGTTTCACTACACGAATGTGTTTTGCTTTTGGCTTTTTTATTTTTCTTGAGAAACCATTACAAAAGAAAAGGCACCTGAATGTGAATCGGCACCCTGTCACAAAATTGCCGCTAATTTCCTCTTTTATTTATACTTTTCCGCTTTTCTTTAATCATTTAGTATTCATTTTTTTGTATGTTACCCTTCAAAACGGACCCCCAAACGACTGTTGGAAAACCGCACTTGTTTGTTTACATTCAAAATTCATCTTGCAGCAAACGTGAGTGATGTCATGCACCCGGTGTGCGCCAGATTACAATTTAGCATCCCGCAACCTTCATACTGGTTAGTGGAGACTTCGATCATATTCCTCACTCTTATAATGGCAGCAGTTTGACCCTTGAACAGACTATTCTCAGCTTCCGTAATTTTCAAACAATGAGTAAACCAGTGTCTCAGAATGGTTTGTCACTCTCAATATATCATGAGCAACCATGCAAAAAGTCACATATATGTTTTGTATATTATCGTGAAAAGTTTCCATTGCAATTATAAATAGATGTAAATAGACTGTCTGTGTGGAAGTTTGTCTTTAGAGCCTCCTACATGCTTTTTTATAATTACAACAAGGGATTCTGCTGGATGACTACTGACTCCCTAATGACATCATGATGGTTCCGTGTTGACTTTGTAACTTTATAGTGGCAGGAAACGACTTGAAACCCACATGCGCATACATTCGTCTTTGAGTGTGCGTGCGTGACAGCATAGCAACAAAGGAGACACATAAGTGAGTTTGTGTGCAAGAGTAGCACAGAAAGAGGACATGCACATGGAGAATATTTTACCTTCCTAAGCCAAGCAAAGTGTTTGTAGAAGTCAAACTCATACTCCATTCTACAGGCCCATTGTAGTAGCCCTCGCTCTCAGTGTTGGATACCACTAAGAATTAAGTTTGCGCGCTGCATGGAGTCAGGAAGGAAAGCAGAGTCCTGTGTCATAAGTGAGTCTCAGCGATAAATCCTCACACGTGTGGACTTGCGTGCTCCTCTTGCAGACCGTCCACGGTGTTGATAGCAACGAGAGGCCCTTGGTGGTTTTTGAGTCTGGACAGTTTTTTTTTTTTTTTTAGCTGAGCTGAATAACTCAATTGATGCCAATTGGCTCGACTCCCTTTTCTTTTCCTCTCTCTTTGCTACCTCCTCCTTTGAGTTTTTTTCTTCTTTCTCTCTCTCTTTCTCAAAATGACTCCAACTGCCTCTTTATGCACAACGCCACTTTTCTCGCTCTCATCTTCTCCAGTCCTTCCTGTGGTTCTTCACTGCGTGTCACGCCGGCCAACCTCCTGGTCTTAAACTAGAAGGGCTCGAGGGGGGGAGTTCTTTGCACCACATGCTACTCAGATGTGGTGTCGAACGAAGGGCTTCATAAAGAAAGAGGAGGAGGAAGGAGGACGCTTTGCGAGTTGACTTCATAGGAGTTCAGGGCAGAAAAAAAAATGGCTTCAACTGTGAAGTGAGGCCAATTTTGGAGACACGGCGATTGCTGCAGGGAATTAAGGCAAGAAAATGCAGGTATTAAGATGAAGAGATGTAAGGAACAGTGGGAGAAAAATGGAGTTGCTTCTATTTCAATGGGAGTTCTGGTTCACATTAGGGCCTTCGTTCAGCTAACTCCCTCAGGACACACCGGTCCAGAGGTTTAAGATCAAAGTATGAGACATCAGGACTACAATTGTAGTAGTGTGTGGTGTTCATGATTTCATTTGCCAGATTTGTACGAGATGATATACTGTATGTGTGGGCATGTGTGTGTGTGAATACTCACTTTGCCTCTATGTGGCCGTGTTAGTACAGCAAAGTGCAACTTGATAGTGCCTTTTCCCTACATCAATACTGAGTGGGTAAGTACAGCATTGTACTCACCGGACACTTCATTAGGCAAACCTACACAATTAAATAGCATCCTCTTTCTGATGCGTTGATTTATCTGAGGGGTTTTTGCAGGTGTACCTCATGTTGTGGCCTGCGTTCAGAGCAGTTCCTGAGATTGCCTGTGGGGAGCAACATTGCACAACGGCGTGGCTTTTACCAAAGCTATCAAATGAATGGCATCACATGGTTTTGAGTGTAGTTCACTTCCACCTCAAGCACTCTGCAATTACAGGTTTAATTTGTGGGGCGCTATAATAACAGCGTCTGAGCAGAAAGTACTTTCGCCGCTCCTTAAATTAAATCAAGCAAACAGGAAAGAAGATGAGACTTTAGCCATCATAACCCTTTGTATCGAAAACTGATAACCTGTTTTCGGGCATGTTAGGGTCTCAGCAGTTTGCAAATGACTGGGCTGCTGCTTCTATTATTTGGAGCGCGTCTCCTGGCCCTCTGCAATACGAAGGAATTTAAAATAACAGTCTGTAATCCCAAAAATCTATCACCTCTTTGAGAAAGCAGGTTGAGGGGGACCAACCAACTGTGCATGTTCATGGACAGTGAGAAATGAATGGTCACACGATTAGGTACACTAGTACATTCTAATGAGATCAATACAAGAGCTGGATCAACAATTATGCCATTATAAAAATATAATGTTAATATTCTATCGGCTATCAGAGAAGTATTGATTGAACAATGTGTTCATTATGGTGGGTGCAGTAGTTGAGAGTTGTTTGTAATATTTTGGTTGCCTCATTCAGGTAGACAACAAAGTAGAAATATCACCAGCTCAGAGTACAGGAAAAGACAACAAAAATTATATTTTTTAATTAATCTCAACACAGCATCAATTTCTTTTTAAATGCTAAAAAAAAAAAATCCAGCTTTTCTGTTGTATCTCATTTGACTGACACACTTAAGTAAAACACTCTATAAACCTTGAAAACTTTTACAGGTACTTAAAAAAAAGGTTTGAATAAAACCCATCAGCCACAACTTCACAAAATAGTTGAGATGTGCCAAAGTAAAAAAATCAAGTGGATGTGTGAGATTAGAATACATTATAAAATAGAAATTCTTACCTGCAATAATGTGCTCGGAGGCAGCCTCCAACATATTGTCGGCATCTGACGCCATGGCAACCTGCTGTCAGTGAAAGTGGCACGACGAGATGCTCATTTAGTGGCTTTAAGTGGTCACTTTGCGCTTGAGAAAGCCCTTCTCCTCAGACAACTGCACTCTGAGTTCTGAACGCTGTCAAGGCATCTGATTAACTTCCCACTTGAAATAACACCCTGACTCTCACTTTGGCTTTAAACACTCCTGTCATTTTGTGGCCCAAACCCTAAACCCTTTGTCAAGGCTCTTATTCAAATGCTAAACCAATTGTCATATTTTGAATTCTTTGCTTTTGTATTTCCTTTAACCTTGTTTTGATTCATAGTCATGTGACTTCATTGCATAAATGGCATCCAATGAACTTGGAAACAAAAACAGCATCTGGCGCAATAGTTTCAACAAAAGATAACACCGTCATAAATCTGTTTACATTTTGGATGACGAACACGTTTGTACAAATAGCATAATATCTCAGTTGGTAGAGATAATTTTTGAATAAAACATGGGCAAAAAAAAACCCTGTATATATTTGTCATGATTTATAGAGGGGTTCTTTGAGACATTAGTTTATAGGTTATATGACCATGCTCATAACGCAAAACACTCGCATATCAACTCATCATTCCCGAGTGAAACAAACTTAAATGCTATCAGTCCATTCCACCCTCCCCCCAAAAACTACCAATATGTTTGCAATGTGTTTTTTTTTCATGATAATAATAGAAATCTATAAGATTGTACTTTGTAAAAACATGTTGAATGTTGAGAAATAAAACCGCAAACTTTTTTTTTGCTTCAGTTGCAAGAAAATTCGACTATTCCTTTGGTGTGTGTGTGTGTGTGTGTGTGTGTCTTGGCCACTTGGAACTAGTGTATTACAGACAAAGCGGTATGTATACTTGTACTGGTCTCAGCGCCACAGTAAGCTGCAGTTGTATTTACCGTTCTTCGCAGAGGATATAGAATATATGGCTGTGAGTATTGTTATATTATCTGTATTGTTATTAGTATTATGTTCAATACAATGCTATGATTTTAGTGAGGTTAGTACACAGTCATAACCATTAGCACAATTGTAGAATTTTACAATGGTTGTTCATCTATTTGCCCTGCAATTGGCTGGCGATCAGTTCAGGGTGTACTCCACCTACTGCCTGAACACAGCTGGGATCGGCTCCAGCACGCCTAATGAGGTTAAGGGAATGGAAATTCAGACAAATTGTTCTGGAAGTGAATTCCAATAGGTTGGAGTGCTTTATAATCTTAAGGATCTTATGGACCACACGTGTAAGGGGAAACGTAATAGACACGAAACAGTCAGCTATTTCGTGTAATGCCTTTTGTGGCAATGACAACACTGCAGCAAAATGCTCTATGGAGCCTACATTGGTCTTATATAATATCAAAATTTGAATCAAATCATTAGTAGCGGAATAGGACCACCATGTATATGTAGCTCAAGGACCAAAGCAAACATTCTTCACACGAACTGCTTTGCATTCACACAAGCTTTGCTTTACATGTACAACGGTGCTCCTGACTGATATGTACTTGGAATCTTGCAGAGTGCACATGCTGAACTTACACATGATACGAGTTCCAGAAATATTATGACAGCATTGCTGTTAAAGCAACATAACAGAGCACAACATTAGAAACTGACTAGAGTAAGACCCACAAACATCCATCACAATGGAACAGGGTGAGTGGGGGTCGGTCACCTTTGCCTGTCGTCGTGTTATTATTTGAAACGTGTTCATGTGATGAACCAACCCTGCCACATTAAAAAAAAATGTCCATAGATTAAGACTGCATTTACAATTACGTTTGCAACGAAACATATGAGTCCAAATGGGAGAATTAGAAGATGATAACTGCAACATAGACCATAGAGGAAACGAGGCCATGGCAAGTGAACTGAAATTGTTTCATCTCCACTTTCCATGAGGCACATTTGTATGTAACTTCTCAACATTGACAACATCTCGGGGTGTGTATTTATCTTCAAATCATTGTCTCTCCTCTTAAATGCTTGTCATGTGAAGGGAAACATTATCTCCTCTTCTGGTTACGTTCAGTACGAAAGTGTTGGTTGTGATCGGATAAAAGCATTTATCAGAAACATTTTCAAATTCATTCTTGTTCAGGCTTACTCCTTATGTCCGGGCAATTATGCAATGCAGTTTTCCCAACAGAGTTTTTAACCCATATCTCCTGGATGTAGGGTAGATAGCTATTAAACATTTTTTGACAAAATATATCTCTGAAGTCCCATCAGGAAACTTCTGAGGGCAGCAAATCTTGTGACACTTCAGCCCAGTGAACATCTAAAGGAGTAACTCAACAAGTGTGCACTAGAGAAGTAATTCTTAACTTTGGCTGAGATGGACGAGGTCATGAAAAACCGCTGTGATATGAATGGCACGTTTAGTTTTTTTTCTTCAATCAACCTCCTCAAGCAGTGGTGTCAAAGATACGGCCCGCGGGCCGGATCCGGCCCACAAAGGAGTTTAATCCGGCCTGCGAGATGATTATGTAAACCTCAAGGGTGATGGCAGAATTTGTTTTTTGGCTTTGTTTGTGTGACACCAAAGACAAGCACCTCTGATGGTAGAGATGGAAATGTAGTTACCACAGAACCGGAAATGAAACGTATGCAGGGATAAGAGGTCAGCGACAAAAACAAGCAGGCACGTTGCAAATGTATGAATAGTTTTTCACACTGGAGAGGTCATGCTGACTTCTCCGTCGCTGTAGTGTCTTTGACGATACAGAGTAAATGTCAGACAGATAATTATAACACCAAGAAAGATGTTCTGTGTAGAAACACTCTCACCTCTGTTCGCTTCGCCCTGTTAAAGCAGACGGGTGTCATATGGAGCACTCACTAATGAGATGTTCACAAACTCTCGCGGTTGAACCAGAAATACAAAAACATCCACCCTATTTCTTTGCGCTGTCTTTTGCATGTTACTCCCAGTTTAGTTTGTGGATGCATAAAGGTATGAGGAGACCCTTGACTTTCATATGAGGGATGTACTGTAAGGATCTTTTTTTTCTTGATATTTGTTTTGATTTAGAATTTAGCTTCATCCTTTCCTTGAGTTCCTTTCCCGATGTCTGTCCATTCTCGCTAATTTCAATTACTAAGTGTAATGTATGATATCGGAGGAGTTGTCTGTGAATAAAAATGAATGAAAGCCATCTGATTGCAATTACCACTCTTTATTGTAACCGCTTTCCGCTAAACAGGTAAAACAGAACAGCACGAGCCTTAAAACATCCACATAGGCACAGTAGAGAGACGTGGCAATCGCAAAACATTTCAAGTAAATAAAAGAACATTTGTTAGGCCACATAACTCGGAACTGGAAGAAAAGAAAAGAGAATCTTTTGATGTTTAATCAAATGCAGTCATCCTTGAAGTGATTACAGTGTGTGAAGTGATTATTTTCCAGACCAAGAACAGGATCACCTTCAACCATTTCATGTTAGCATGCAAAAGAGAACCACACACGTCTTTCAAAAGCAAGTAATTCTAGAGTTGACCAACATCTTGACAAATTATGAATAACACATTTGATTGCGCCCATCTTGCCAGGGCTGAAATCCATCTGATGGCGCGTTGTCAGGGATAGATTTATGAGTGTGTTTGTGTGGTGTGTTTCCACATTTTAGGTTTTCAATAAAGCTTTGAATCTTCACAAAGCTCCATCCATCCATCCATTTTCTAATGCGCTTATCCTCACAAGGGCCGCGGGCATGCTGGAGCCTATCCCAGCCATCTTCAGGCAGTAGGTGGGGGACACCCTGAACTGGTTGCCAGCCAATTGCAGGGCACAAACAACCATTCACACTTACAATCACAACCTAGGGTTGTGATTTAGAGTGTTCCATTGACCTGCCATGCATGTTTTTGGAATGTGGGAGAAAACCGGAATACCCAGAAAAAACCCACACAGGCATGGGGAGAACATGTAAACTCCACACAGGGAGGCCGGAGCTGGAATTAAACCCGGTACCTCTACACAGGTCGACGGGCTAACCACTGGATCACCATATATATATATATATGGCCCGCCCATACACACACACACACACACACACACACACACACACACACACACACACACACTTACACTGTGAAACAAGGGTTTTATTAAACATTAAGAATATGAAAATATAATGCGTGTACAATTGTTTTTCTTTTTTATATAACCAAGTTTTTATGTCTTGAATTCATATTGCATATAACAGCAAAACTGTATTTTCTTGTCTCTATTGTAAAAAGGAATACTATAATTGATATTTTAAATATATCTTGAACCTTATAGGCAACTCCTCCCGGCTCACGTATGGCGCAATGTACCGTAATTCATTTCTGGTTCTGGTTTTGTTTAGCGGGTAGCTATTTTCCCCGGAGTCCAGACACTAATTATTTTGCCTGCTATTTTGCAAATCTTTTTTAAATTTGTCACTTTTTTCTCGCAAAATAATAACTTCATGGTCAAATATTGACTTGTTCATCTTGTATCATTACTTTTCTTTCAGAGTGGGCCTAATATGCCCCTGTATGTTTGAAGGATTCTGAAATCTGCTGTGAAAGTAAACGCGGGGTTTTTCAACGTGTCAAGGAATGAGAAAACAAATATGTATCGATGTTCAACAAGACCAATTATGCAGGGAAACTTGGACTGACAATGGCTATATTGAATTTCATCATATTGATTGACAATATTTAGTCTTGTTTTCTGCACTGACAAACACTTCCTTGATAAATCGACTTTCACTACATGTCAACAAACACATAATAGGCCCAAAATAGAAGGGAAACGAACAAACAAACAAGGGGAGATATCCCAACAGGCAAGACTTCATGCACCAATCACCACCAAATGAATGAGGGGAAAGGTTGTTTGACCGGTTGTAAAGAACATTGTGCAATCACAGACTCACCTCAGATAAACAAATAACAAGACAATGGAAAAACAGTGACTCATGTGAACCCTTTTAAGACAGACGTCAAATGTCTTGGTGTGCCTGTCATTTATGGGTTGTTTTTTTTTTCTCATGGAGCATTATAAAAAAGAAAACATCCATCAATGTGATCATTCAACATGCAACTGGTCCTGTTGTGTCCTCTCCATCCTGAAATATCTTGGATGGCTGCACCATTCTTTTCATTGTGCGTGTGCAGTAATCCACAGCAGCACAAGGCTGAGCCGCGGGCCTGTCGAGATGTTACGTAAAGTGTTATTCTGAGTTATGGGGAGGGAGGTGCCTTCAGAGAGTTACAGGATCCTCCCTGGCTACTACCTGTGGTCCCCTGGTACTGCAAAACAACAACAAAAAAAAGCACAGTATGAAAAAAATTAATAGCATCAGTGATGTGGTATTCACAGGCAAACATAGGAACTCCCAAAAGATAATTAAAGAGAACAATTTAATTCAAATAAAGCAGCAACAAATAGAGCAGACCCTTAAGTTAGGAAACTCCCAACCAAGGGGGTAAAACTCAGTTGTCAGCTCACCGAAAAGTTTTTTGTTTGTTTGTTTGGTTGGTTGGTTGGTTTTCTAAATGCAGAGCACGCATCACTGTGCCCATTTGGATTGTTTTCAAATATTGTGTTTGTAACAGGAGTTTAGCTCTTGAACATGGGCCATATTTTTCATAATGCTGGAGTTCTGACAGTTTTTTAAAGTTGATTCACTTTTATTCAAAACACAGTTCACACTTTCATGTGAGCAGCTTATGTTGTTATTTAGCAGAAAAGCGTTGTTTAGATATTTGAGCTGTCACAAATGCAAAAAATAAAAAAATAATAATAATACTATCAAAGTGAAAGTTCTGCTTGAAATGCATCTTTTCACAAAAAGCTCTTTGTCTCAGAATGTTTCTTGGAAACGAGTGTTTTCAAGAAACTCACCAATGTTCAACTGCTGTTTACTAAAGAATGGTAAAAGGTAGAAATTATACATATTTTTTTATGAATGAAAGAAGAGGGTTAAAGCTTTATTTTGGTATGCTTATATAGCTAGAGAACTCAATATTGTGCAGGCCTTCAAAAATTTGTCAAAATGGTCAAAAAATGGCCGAAACCGGCTCCCAATTTGAGAAAAAAATGGCTGGCATTGAATTTATTCATCAATATTCGACCTTTTTGAGGCTGATATGACAGATTTAGTCAAATGTTGTGTTCTTTTGTGTCACCTCTTACTCTTGTGCGAGCCATGTTCCCTACTGTGATGTTACATGCAGAGTAAACTTTTGATTATACATACTACATTTAAAAGTGTGAATTAATAGTGAGGAATCTGATTGTTCTTCTTATAGAACTATGTTAATTACAGCTGACTCCGATGACTCAACGTAGCTCGTTTAATATCAGCAACCATTGAACGTTTGCTTGGCCACTGCTGAGGTCAACAAAATTGAAATCAAAGGATACTTACTGCTCCCTGGTGGTTATTTGCTGTATTACCGCAAACCTGCCCTCAATCTACTTGAATGGGGAGCTGATATACGGTATTTCCATTTTTCTGACTCTTCATGGTTAATTCACACAAAGCGGGACTATTGCAGGAAAAAAAACGCGCATCGTCTTCTTCCTCTATTAACAGCGTTGTGACCTGACCAGAGAAAGTTGATGTATTTCCAGTGGAAGAAAATCCATCTCTTCTCGCCACAGGCCAAAATGATGACAAGGCTTTGTCTTCCCCTCCTCATCATTTTCCCACTGCGCTATTTAAAATAAGAATGCTGATAATGACTTAAAATGACGTAACTGGTACAAGCCAGGAGGAAAGCGGGGCGCCTTTTGATAAGGCCAAAACAGGAGAAGCTATTAATGATGTTGAGAGCATGGTCTCAACTAGTATCACTGAACTCACTTCATTAGCTCAATTGCCTTTTTGCCCGTCTCCTTCCCTTTTTGTCTCACCATGTTTGCTTGCTCGACGCAGCTTTTTTGTAAGCTGGCTATGTTGTTTGTTTCAAGTTCAACTATATTAATTCATTTTTTTTTCTTGCGTTACTGGTAGGAGACAAGCATTCAAACTAATGTTGTTATGTAGAAGACACTTATTACTTATTTGAACTTTTTTTTTCTTATGATATTACTGCTCATTTTGCTATGAAAGAACCACATTGCGGTGCCATCCCTCAAGGACTTAAGCTCAATTCAATACAATAAGTCTCTCTTTCACATGAGTGAAGTCGAACTTCTCTCAACCTTGATGTTTGCCGTTTCGGAAAATAGCAGACTACACTCGTGGACAAATATGTTGGTACCTCTCTGTTAATAAAATTGGAAATAATCCATCCATGCATTATCTGAGCCGCTTATCCTTACGAATGTCGCGGGCGTGCTAGAGCGAATCCCTGCTGACATCGGGCAATAGGCGGGGCACACAGACATAGATAAACAACCAGTCGTATTCTCAGCCACACCTAACGGACAATTTAGAATGATAAATTAACCGACCATGCATGTTTTGGGAATGTGGGAGGGAACCAGAGTACCCGGAGAAAAACCACGAGCCGCAGGTTGCTCAGCCATGTTTTCAAGTATTTGAGCATATCTTGTTCAAAATCCAACTGTGACTATGAGTAGCGCACTTTTGTACTTTTGTCAGCTGTCTAAAATGTCAAGCTTCCATTTTTCTGAAATGCAGCAAAGGCATCCTTTCATATTTCTCGGGTGTCATCCCGTTGCACTCACAGCCCTGAAGGGGGTGTATTTGCATTGTAACTTTCTTCACAATGATAAGGACATACCAGACATTGCTGATAGTCCTTGGGCCATAGTTTTTGGGGCATTTTCAGTTCATTATCTCTGAGCAATTTGTTGAGTTGAAAGTTCTAGCTGAGAAATAAAGTGCGTGACTGCTTTTTTTCTGTACTTGGGTCCACTTGCCACCATTCATAGTGACAATAGAATTTGACCAGCAGTGTACCCTTCCTCATTAAGGAAGTTAATGATGTGACGAATTCTATAAATGCCCTCTTTTCCTTCTGACAAAAGACTTTCTAGATTTTGCAGATAATTAATTCAAAGGCATGGGCTCTTGAATTAAAGCCAAGCCTGGCAGAGAAAGCTATTTCGCTTGCTCCACTTGCAGCTGTCTCCCCAGAGTCAAAACACTTGAACCTGCATTTCCCCGGGTTAGATTCAACAATACGTCTACCGAATCTGGGCTTCAATTTGTTTTACTTGGAAATTTTCTGCACATTGCCAATATGGACTTACCGGTCACTTCATTAGTTGCACCAACATATTGGCGAATAAGTGTCAAAAATAAAACTTTACACAAAATAAAAAGGAAGAATAAGGAATGCATAATCATCCCATACTCATTATCTAGTCTGCAAATTCCTGGGCTAATGCATGAACCATATTTTCTGGACTATAAACGACTACTTTTTCCCTGACTTTTTAAACGTGACCTTTTTTTGTTGTTTTTGTTTTATTTTTATGAATGTTTAATAAAGAGCTTCAAGCCATAATAGATTTACCTTTTAGGTCCTTTTAATTGTTATGTTCCATTGTAGCATTTGAATGCAATATTGTAACTATGCATTCCCCCTTTAATTGTGTAGACACGCATAACAGGCACGTTATTAAAGTCATCACCTCCACAAGAGGATGCCAGTGAGCGACAGGTTTTCGGGGGTACGTAAGCATTTCACTCCAGTGGTCCCGACCGAGGTTGTCTGCATCGTTGCCAACCCGACACACACCGATGACCTCATTATGACCGACTCTGTGCACACAGGAGGAAAGATAAGACATATTGTACGGTCAACAACTGCATTGCAGTCCACAATGTTGAAAGGGACTAACAAAGAAAGCAGATTCACGTGTTGAGTGACAGCCACGGTTTGCAATCGTCGAAACCAGAGTCAGAATTGATGCAGAAATTTCTCACCGGTCATAATCCATCACTGCAATCAACAGGCTGATTTGCTCGATGTTCTCAGGGGGAACATCGAAAACAATGGCCTCGTTGTAGACTGGATTCAAAGTGTTCCTCTTTGTGGAGGTCTTCCGCTTCTTCAGTCTGCGACCGTCACACATCAGTGAAACCTTCACGTATGGATCTGGACGGTTGTGGTTAAGAAAAAAAAGAAAAAAAAAAGAAGACAATGATTCAATTAAACAGTCAGTGCTGGCGACTCAGCCACCTAAACAGATTTTGACTTGTAATTACCAGATGCGCCCGTAATGTCCATAGCCTTAAGATTGCGAGCCTTTATCATTGTGATGGTCAGTCTTCCAGCGGTTGGTAAGTAACACAAAGAAAACATTAGGTCACCCAGGTCCACGTTATCCTAAAAGATAACAAATCACATTTAATCACTCATAGGATAAATATTAAATAAAGGCAGATGGTCATGACCTTTTCACTGATGTTTATTTATGGCATGGGTTAAGTGTGTCGCGCAATGCCTAAGAATGTGCTTTAATGAGAGCACGTTCATGTTTCCGCACAGATGGAAACTTAGAGTATGCTAGAATGGAGAAAGACACTTATCACCTGCTCTCAAAATAACTCTGAGGATAGGTGAGAAGCCGCACACCAATGTGTGGTGAAAAACTCATGTCTAATTTGGTTCGCGTCATCATTGTTGTTCGATGTGATGAGGCAGAACATTTCGGAGGTGGAATTTCATCCTGTGCAAGTGGACATTTCGAGGAGCCGTACTGACACATGCACACTCGGCAATTGAGCACGCCGGCTTAGTCAAGCATGGCCAGCTGTTTCAGTCTTAACAAAAGCATTCCTGTGGTTAATCACGTGGGCACCTGCTTAAATGGAGGCAAAAAAAAAAAAAAAAAAGGTGTATCTTCTTCATCAAGATAGAATAAGAGGTGGGAAGAGAAGGCACTAGCACTATTGTGAGTGCTGACGCTGGCTGCAGGAGCAGTTATTTCATAACCGTTCATTATTTATGACCTTTTATGAAATAACGCCACATGATTATTGCGGCACATTAAAAGACCTGTTTCACCATTATTGTATGTCTAAAATCTACATCAGCATCTTTCATTGTCGTTGGTTATCTCTTTTTAAAACATCATCATTATGACCTTTATTCGAGGATTGCAAGGTTTTGAGTTGAAGTTACAGAAGGCTACGTTTAGCAGCAAGAAAAGTCTCGTATGGCCGAATGTTGAGTTAGTGATTTTTATTTGTTTACTGAGTGACTGGAAATAATAGTTATCTCCATTAATGGAGCACAAAAAAACTGTTTATGAAAAATATGAAAAATGTCATGGGCTGTGCAAAACAAAACAGTTCGTTTTCTTTGTATTTGGCTTTACTGGTTAATGTTTTTGGGAATATTCATTACTTTCTTATTTCATACTTGTGTTTTACAGAAACAGGCACCTGAAATGTCATTCTAAAATGGATACATAAGTGACATGAGTGTCTTCATCATGTGAATAAAATTGAGCTTGAAGTGTGTGTATTCTGTAATCGTGTTGCAATAACAGATTGTAGAATCTGGCCAGGAGACACACAATATGGTCAGCGTCAGGAAATATTGAAGCAGCAATTACCACTAATTTCTCTCCAGTCAAAAACTGCCGGTGGCTGCGACGTATTGCTTGGCTGAGATGAAGTGTATTTCCAATGACTGTTGGCTTTTGTAGCAAGGCAAACTGTGCGCACTGTGCAACAATATGTGCTGCACATGTCATTTACATATGTTGGGAGCTATGCACTCAGCAAAGATAAAGAAAACACGTCAACATATGATTCGAGAACACCAGTCATTTGTGATTGATGCGTGCCATTCGATTGTAGCCCACCTATAGGAAACTATTATTTCAGACTTTGCAATCAATCGTCCAAATCGACAAACGTCGTGCTCGCTCTAAAATAATGAACAAAAAATGAACAAATGTACGTAATTCGTGAATTAGTGCTTATGTGACAAAATTTCATGATTAATTGATTAAATGCAGAAAAGAGTGGGATTGGGGGGTGGGGGGGGGGGGACTACTTGGACCATTGCCCCAACTGCTTACTGATTTTGTTTTGGTCCAATTAAGCAGGCAAAAATATTTGGCTGGCACTTCCGAACCAGACACGGCTCCTTGTGTGAATACAAAATGCATTCAATGTCTTTTTGGGACATTATTCTAAGCCATCGCACAGTGTAGTGCGATTGCTTTTGTTAAAGGTTGTAATTTGAAGAAATGAGATCTTGTAATTACACGGGGCAGCTTTTACTCCTGTGAGGAAAAGCACAAGAAGGTGCATTCAAGCAGTTGCTAATGATTTCTTTGCACAGCCCCGTTGCTTCTTCTGATCTTCGTGAGGTAAGTCTCGTTGTTCAGGTATTTCATCTGATTTAATTGTTTGAAGAATTCATTTCTCTCAGTAATGGACAATTCATTCTTATTGAAAAAGGAATGCATAAAAATGGGCCGTAACTGATTAAATGCTGGTGTATTTGGTGCTATCCTTGATCACTATTACTCATTAAAAAAAATAGGGAAAATGACTTTTAAGTAGCTACAGCATTAGGGTCGCCAAATTCACACAATATAAGATACAATATGTGTATCTTTATAAAGATAATCCTCGGATTTTATTGACATTGATGGAGAGATATTCATTGAGTATATATATATATATATATATATATATATATATATAAATAAATAAATAAATAAATAAATAAATAAATAAATAAATGTGTGTGTGTGTGTGTGTGT